TACATATATACATACACATATATATATATACATATATATACATTTATACAGTTATGCAAGTTTGTCTGGATAAACCTTAGTGCATGGTGTTGGATTCCGAGAGACCAAATACTCAGTCTTTTTCTATTCTTTACAATAGGCAGCTGCGCTTGTGTCACAGATAAAGGAAAAAATCGACCTAATGTTCTCTTTCTTTCTCTTTCTCTTTTGAAGGGTACAGGTGTACATACTGGATCTCGGTATTATCTATGGTTAGAATGTATGTGTGGTAAGGTGTAACTGAAAAAAAAAAATGTTATAGATATTTTCTTCGAAATTTTCGTTATTTTCCTTAATTAGAAACTTAATGAGAAACTAATGTTTCGGTTTTTGCTAGGAGCAAATCACCTCGATCTTCTCTTAAGAATTAAAAATTGAAAAAGAAATAGACAAATTCGATTGTACAATTCGACGACAGGTTGCGTGATTGTTCTTTACGTAAACCGAGAGTTACTTCTACAAAAATATAACATAAAAAAGTGCGAGATAGATGAATTTACAGTCAATGGTGTAGTCTGATTTAAAAAAACAATACAGACTGATATAGCTATACTAAGGTTATCATAAAATTTGAATCATACGAGTATATTACTTTAAAAAGAAATAATTCAAGAGTGGAAAAAGGGGATATCATTTTTTCTGCATTAAATGTAGGTATTTAATAAAATAAAATTTCTAAAATATAATTTTTATTAAACATTTTTATTAATATAATTATATAAGTATAAAATTTTAATTAATGACCAAAAGTTTTAGGATTTTTAAATGAATACAAAAAGTATTAACGTCCACGTGTATCTATTTTTAAAAAGTACGGTTGGTAATCCTAGGCTAGATCCGAAAAGACTGTCTTAAGGTAAAGGAAAGAGAAAGGAAAGAAAAACAAAGAGAAAAAAAGGAAAAAATCTCGACTGATAACACTTACCTTTTTTTGCTGCTTCTCCCAAGCGGGATCCAAGAGACCCTCCCTCTCCCATTCTTCCTCGGGTGCCATGTATCCATCCCCGTAGGCCTCCATGTCGTTCATCCTGCCTGCTTGTGTGTGCGTATCTCACGTTCCTTCAAACGCCAAAAACTTGATGTCACACAACTTTGTTACGTTTGTCTCGTTACAATGGAAGAAAGACTCGGCGGCTGGTGCGTGTGTGGTGTGTGGGTGTGTGTGAGAGAGAGAGAAAGGGAGAGGAAGGGAGAGATAAAGAGAAAGAAAAACGAGAAAGAATCCCGAGGAAAAGCTGAAAACGCTTCTTTCCTCCGAAATGGCTGAGAGAAACGCTTGATCAAAGATCAATATGTGTGTACGTTCGTTTGTACGATGACAGCGACGCCGACGCGTATTCCGAAGAGTGGAAAAGGGTTTGAGATAAAAAAAAATAGAAGGGAGAAGAGAGAAGGAAAAAATGATAAAACCAAAGAAGTAACAAGAGCGATGACTAAAGAACGGAGGTGAATTTGGAGGAGGGGGAATTGTGAGCGAGATTATCGTCGGATCAGCAGAGGGAGAAAGAAAGGGAGAAAAGTGCAACGAGACCCAACAACCCAATACGAAAACGTACCCGCTAAGCCCAGAAAACGTTCGATTTCGTGTCGTTCTTTCCCTCGCGCTGACCCCTCTGCCACGAATCTGACATATACGATTTGCTCGCCGGCGCACGATTTCCCCTACCCCTTAACTCCGTATCCGTAACATCCCCGCTAGCCCCTCGCAGAGATCCAAGTCTCATTCGCTGTCTACCATTTTCCACCTAGCTGTTTCTCATCGGGGAAGGGGAGACGAAACCCCTCCCATTTCGACTCCTTTCTAAATTCTCCTTACCCCTCTCTTCCGCGAGCACAAACACTTTGTAAATGAATGCTTGAACAATGCAAAAAATAAGTCCGATGTTTGTGTTTGTTTGGTCTAGAGTGGAGGCGAAAAAAACGTCCGAGTACTGTTACGGTATATGTATACGAAAATGTGACAGTCGTGACTATCTAATACGAGTTTTTTGTCGTGTTCGACATTCATCGATTCGTATTGAGTGCCTAAGCCGCGTTAGGAGATGCGCACAATGAAAGGAATAGAGAACAGAGAATAAGAATTGCCTATCTATCAGAAACTGTATAGTTCACAATATATGATTTCTGATAGATTGAAATTCTTATTCTCTATTCTCCGTTCCCTATTTCGTTTATTGTGCGCAGCCCCTTAATGCCTGGTTTATGCTTCGGTTTTAACCTTAAACTTCTAAAATTCAGCCAATGGAATACAGATTTCAGTTAGGACCACTTAAGACTGGCAGCTCTATTGGCTGAATTTGAGAATTAAGACCGAAGCATAAATCAAGCATAAATTATTCTTTGATGCGTCCTAGGGAGAAAGGGAGGGAGGGGGAGAAGCGCTCGCGAGACATTCTTGTACACGACATGGGCTCGCTTGTCGAAACTAACCTCCGTCTTCTTCTCTCTCTCTCTCGCGCGCGCATACGCAAGCACGCACCAGTCCGCTGTTTGCTTGCGAGGACGTAGAAGCGACGAAAATAGCGTCGAAGACGAGTGCAACTCTTTCACCCACACACGCGACTAAAATAGGACCGACGCGCGATCCGCGCGAAATTCTCGAGTCAATCGAGGCGACGCCATTCTTACAAGAGATCCTCGGGTATTGTTGCCAACTCGGGTCGTCAAAATCTCACTAGACAGCTTTATATTTTCCGCTAAAAATCACTAAACTCCTTTGTGTTTTTTTTCATCAAAAACCAATAAGGGACTTACTACATTAAAGGTGCCGACGCTCAGTATCCATACTGTATATACTTATAGACCAATATTCATAGTCGATTCTTATTTTAAGACCATCTTAAATAATATCTTAAGACAAGGGATGCTCGATCTCGGCAAAAGAATTGATTTTTTTAATCGACCCGAATCGCAACTGTAAGTATCGATTTATCAAAAAATCGAGCACCAAAGAATCGATTTAAGAAATCGCTCTAAAAGATCGAGGCTAATTACACTGTAGACTTATAAAAAAAAATTTAATGCATACGTGCATACACCTCTTGTACTATTTATATAGAATGAAATATATATGTGCTCTTTATTCTTTTTATTTTATTGCACAGATTTAATCAAGTGGCATATCGCAGCCAATACGACGGCAAAATTTTAATCTAACTAGGGAATCCAGCAGAAAAACAAGCATCATGTGCCGCAGGCTTTAGAGCGCATTTACACTAAACAGAAAAGCAGAAAAGAGAAAAGCAGAAACCAATCAGAATTCGCGCTAGTAACAGATGGCGGTACAGCGTGAGTTCAGAAGTACGTTCAGTAAGCTTTACATCTGATTGGCATATTTTATTAGATCTAAAAATATAAACTAAACAAGTACAAAAACTCAATGAGCGTTTACTCAGTGAGCGGTCGTGCACCTCTGGATGCACCTATTGAATTCTGCTTTTCTGTCAAGGTGTAAACGCACTCTTAAGCCTGTCACACATGAAATGCATAACAGGCATAAGCATAACATAAGACCGCTGAACCAATGAGCATCTTATGTAAATCAATATGGCGACATTACGCTGTATGCTCATTGGCCCAGCAGTCGATCGATGTTGTATTAACATCGATTTGACATCGAGCGACGTTGAATCAATATTGATTTAACGTTGATTGATTAACTATTAATGGTTTAGCTAAAAAATTAGCTTACTCCCGATGTTTACAATTTCTATTGCTACTGCTATTGTAGACCACGCATTAGATTAGATACCTTATTCGCTACCGGCTTTACGATTTTTATCATGATTGGCCAATTCGCTTACTGATTATGTGTTACGGTCTTACGTTTTTGTATGTGCCATCGGCTTTATCCATAACCTCGCAATAGATGAATTTTAACCGATTGAAACTTGCCTTATGGATAAGTTTATTGCTATTTTTATTTCCGTTCGGATGCCTACTCATGCAGCGGAATAGCGTAACGCGAAACAAGAGCAAAACCAATCACAAGCGTTCCGTACAATTGCAGTTAGTGTAAAACACTTGTGATTGGTTTCGCTGGGTAAGCACACTTATGCCCGTATCAGACTACGGATTGACGATTACGATTGACGGTTGTCCAATTCTATTTCAGTTCAATTACGATGAACTTGCTACGTCGTGATTGGTTGAAATAGAATCGGGCAACCGTCAATTATAATCATCAATCCGTATAGTCGGTATCGATGTTATAATTACTGACATTAGATGCCGTGTAAATGCTATTTTAAGCTGGAGTTATTACTTCGATGTAGTAACTCAAAGTTACGTAAGCATTTTCCCCGCTGAAATCTTTAATAGTATCTCGTCGGGACAGATGTATGCATTTTAGTGAGACAGAATGATATATAATATAATGTAAGAAATGAATCAAAGATGTCACTATTATCGAATTTGGAATTTTTAAAAGTCTGTATCATCCAGCAAACGAGAATGGATTGAAATGAATTGAAATGGATTTCATTTTCAAAAATATTGATTCACGAATGTTAAAATAAATGCTTTTCAATCCTGAATTTTTATTCATTTATAGGAATTGCATACAGCATATCTCTTTGCCTTTCAATTTAAAAATAATATTAGCTTTTTCTGTGCATTGTGAATACTGTTCAATTCAAAATTTTAAATAGGAAATGCAGTTTTTCAATCCAATTGTATCCAATTGAATTTAATTAAATCCAAAAAAAAGATTTGCTATTTAAAATACGCATTCGGATAGAAAAAAATTTTAATCCATTTTAATCCATTCTTGTTTACTGGACATCGACCTCGATCAAGTTCGGCTTTCGATTTAGGATTCCCTTAATGTACAATATAACGTAAATATGATAGAGAGCGTCAATGAGCGGTCAAAGTTAGATGTTCCGAATAATACAATATTTTTTATTTATAAATTTAAGATATAATCGCGAGCGAAAACGTTCGATCATACGCATGTATATAAAGATCAAATTTTCTCAGATGTGACTGTGTGCCAAAACGTGAATAATCGAATATTTCGGTTTGCGATTATATCTTAAATTTATAAATTAAAAATGTTATATTATTCGGAACATTTAACTTTGACTGATCATTGGCGTTCTTTATCGTATTTATTAAATTTTTATTTTATATAATATAATACATATAAATAATGGCAAATTATAAATTATTTATAAAATGTAAATTAAAAGCTTCAATTTTTTTTTAAGCTAAAGGTGAATAAATCTTCATTTAATAAATTCATAATAAATCTTCTGTCTTTTTCGAAAATTGTAGCATTTTTTTTGGAAATTATAGCAAACAAAAAGGAGCATTGGTGGTTTCTTTTTGTTTAATTAATTGCGGCTTTAAACCTTATGCTATGCGAATTGCTTTAATTCTCTCCTAATAACATTTATAAATCTAAAAATAAAATTCTAGTATGTTCACAATTCATGCACAATTAGCATAATAAGAGCCCAAGCATTTCGGTTATAGCAATTGTTCAATAACGTATCTCGTATTGTAAAAGAAAAAATAAAAACAGTTAAACGTAATTGCTATAGTATGTATAATATTTTATAAATGTGCTCTTAACATGTAATTTTCGTATAAATGTGTTTAAATTTCTGTTGATTTTTAATGAATGTCTAACAAAAATAACTTATAATTAAAAATTTCATATAAAAAAATTGAATATATAGTAAATAATACTTACATATTTGTAATAAACTCAATAACTTCTCTTTTTTCAATAACATTGACTTATTACTCCGATAATTAACCATCAGTTAAATAGAATTGCATTATCAAAATATAAACTCGACGAATGGTTTTTAATTGTATAACTGTATTTAGCGTGCTTTTTTGCGCGTAGCGTTTAATTAAATGTCACTCTTGCAATATAACACTATCTTAATGTGACATTTACAAATTTTATAGTGGAATTTCAAGCTTTTGCCTGTTTGGAGATACACGTAGAAAAGAAGAAATTTTCAGTAATATATCTCGCATTCCTCGAGCCAAGCATGTTAAACATACAGTTATTAAGTCTTTTTGCATTAAGCATTTAATTCGAAACAGAAGGACAGTTTTGGGTGCTCAACTTTTTATTTCATTTAAACTTATAATCATGATATAAGACTTTTTATTTCATTTAATCTTATAATCATAATAAAAATTATGATATAGAAAAATTGTAGGCAAAAATTGGCCAAGACTAACTTTGATTAACGATAATTTTGCGAAAAAATATCGTAGGATAATGTTTTTCTTTAAATTAAAGCTTGAAATCTCTATTTTAAAACGCCAGATTAACAGATTGTCTTGCCAAATCTTTTAATCTATGACCTGTTATCTAGTATATTAAATTAGTACATTAAATTTTAAATTAAAGGGGAAATGCGTTTATAATTGTGGATGAAAATTTGCCGGAATAGTTAATTAAGACTGTCTTATAATTTAGCGACAGATCGCTATATATTATCAAAATAAATCATTTTTGTGACGTAGCATTCTTTCGATCGATAATGGAAAAAAATTGTACTGCCATGCTGCTTAGATCGTTGGACGCATTTCGTCGAGGAATGACCTTAATACTACTATATTTCACAATCGGTTGGTATTGTGAAAGAATATCGCGGTGATCCTATAACACAGAATAACTGTTGGTTGG